ATTCTAAGGTGGAAGAAACAGGCTTTGCAGGTACTGGTGACATGCTTATCTAATGACATGTGCTCATCGAAGATAACTCCAATGTTTCTTGCAGAGGGAGATGGCTCGATCCGCTCACCAGACACATCAACATACTCTACTAATGGGGGTGGACGGTGTCGTGCGCTCAAGATCAATAGCTCCGTCTTTTCTCTGTTTAGTTTCAGTTTATTGCACAACATCCATGAGTCTATCTCAGAAACACATGCCTCTATTTTTGCTATAGAGCTGGGTTGTTCGGCTGGGTTGGGCTTGAAAGGGAGATAGAGCTGGGTGTCGTCGGCGTAGAGATGGTAGTTTAGTCCGTGCCGTCTGATGATGTCCCCAATGGGTGAAGTGTATAATAAGTATAAAATCGGACCCAGTAATTATCCCTGGGGAACACCGTACCGAAGTTCTTTCGTCTTTGACTTGTTTCCATCAATTATCACAAACTGTTTTCGGTCTTGGAGATAGGATCGAAACCATTTTAGCACATTTCCTTTTACTCCATAGCGTTTTGCCATTCTTTCCAGTAGTAGATCGTTGTCGACTGTATCAAACGCCGCAGACATGTCCAACTATAGCATGACAACACATTTTTGATCGTCTGTTTCTAAGAGAACGTCACTTTGCACCCTCAAGAGAGCAGTCTCTGTGCTGTGAAAACGCCTATACGCAGATTGAAAAGATTCCTCTAGATCATTATCACGTAGGTGATCACTCAATTGACAAGAAACTGCCTTTTCAATTATCTTTGTTATGACCTTCAGATTTGAGATAGGTCTAAAATTTGAATAATCCTCAGAGTCCAGGTTGTCCTTCTTCAACTTCGGTTTGATCGCTTCTTCTTTTAGTGCAGCAGGCATTGATGCTGATTGGAGCAAAATGTTAACGATGTTAGCTAAGACAGGTAGAGGGGCTGATTTACATTCCTTTAGAATAGATGCCGGTATAGGATCAAGATCGCAGGAGTTTTTACCGATAGTGTTGACAAAACCCTCAATCTCACTCTCTGACATCACTCGGAACTCTTTGAATTCGGCATGACAAGACTTTTTGTTTGCTTCCCAGGACTGGGTACTGCTATTTGCTTCATTGGATAGCTTTGTTCTTATTGTTGCTATCTTCTTGTCAAAAAATCCGGCAAATTTGTTCGTAAGCTCAATCGTTGAGTGTGCGGTCGGATAGCGTCTCTCTACTTTGCGGTTTAATAGCTTGTTAACTGCGTCGAAAAGCACTTTTGGATCTGATGCATTCTCTGAAATAATAGACGAGTAGTATGAAGCCTTTGCGTCTTTAAGCATTTTATTCACAGCCCGACACTGGTCGACATACATCTGCCTGTCAGTGCACAGTCTTGACGATCGCCAGCGGCGCTCCAGCTTCCGGTGTTTTCTCTTAGCATCACTAATACCCTCGTGGTACCATGGTGCTGATGGGCGGAGGGTTATCACGCGTCGTTTTAAAGGGGCATGCATTTCAAGTATTTCCGTCAGTGTGTTTTCGTATTTTTCAATGAGATCTGTAAGATCAGGGGTGATAGTTGACAGTAGATCGGACTGCTTTAGGTCATCATTTAAACTGCCTATATTTATCGAGCGCAGTTTTCGATAACTAATTTCCTTTTGTTCCAGAGGTGGTTTCTTTAGACGAAGTTTGCAGTGTACAGCAGAGTGATCGGACAGCATGGGATACCGTATTTCAGTGCTATTTACTAGCTCTTCCTCGGCTCTAGTTATGAGCAGGTCTAAGGTGTAGCCCTTTTTATGGGTGGGTTCATCTACATGCTGGACTAGGCCGAACGATTCTAACATGTTGTTAAATTTTACAGTATCCAAATTGCTGATATTATCCACGTGGTAGTTGAAGTCACCCACTCTAAGTAGGTTACCAGGGAACACAACTAAATGTTCTGTGAGAATGCAGAATTCTTCGAGGAAGAGAGCACTATTTAGTTGATTTGTCTCAGATGGAGGTGGTCTATAGATGGTAACAATTCTTGTAGACCCAGTGGAGCATATCGTTACGATGTCCAGGTATTCGAAAGACTTGAAATTTCTTTGGGTTTGTTTCGTAACCTTCACGTGCTTCTTTATAAGGAGACCAACTCCTCCCCCTCGCGAGTTTTTCCGAGGAATGTGGTAAACCTGGTATCCAGTGGGGCAGACTTCGGTGATGGAAAAATTATAGTTTTCATTATTACTCAGCCATGTCTCAGTCATTGCGAAAATGTCCACGTTATTGTCGACTGCATAGTCTTTGATCGCAAGTTCCTTCTTATTGATCGATCTGGTATTCAACAAACAGAAGTCGATGGGTACGAATCTATTCTGCAGTTTTTGCTTTGAGCATCTTATGCTGATAAGATTGTGCCAATTCGCTCCTCTGGGACAGCAATTTTTGGAGCCGAGGGTAACGTTCTGTAACACAGTGGTTGGCCGTAATGCATGGCTGCGCTTGGCTTGCGATGAAACAATGACCGGTATTATTTCGTTCATAGAGGGTCCAGGATTGAGTTTAAATGTCAGATCGCCAATTAGTTCCATGTTGAAAGCGGCGAAGCTGTTGGGATAATAAAAGCATGGTATTTTGTGTCTTTTCATCCTGCGCCACTTTGATAAATTCCTGTGCAGGAGCGAACCAGTGATTGTACAGCAACTCATCCAGCGATGTGAAATGCTCGTTGTGAGCAAAACATCTTTGTTCGAGTAATTAGATGTATTGTGAAGCAAGATTCCGGCAGCTTTGCAGGTCGAACAGAAATGCGACGATAGATAGAAAAAATCCCTTCTAGGAGGCAGAATATTCAGCTATGGGTCACATTTTCGAGGCCAATTTGTAGATTCATAGCTTCTGTAATGTCTTCCGTTCAGAAATGGTTGGTTGGTCCAGTAGAGAGCGAACTAGAGGAGAAGGAGTGCAGAACGATCACATACACGTCTTACCCTCATTATATTGGAAGTCTTCAAATTAAAATTGATCATGTCAGTTATGTTATATAAGAAACCTCGTATCTTAGTTTCCTCCTTTTTCTCAGAACCCTCCATTCGAAACTGCACTTCAAATTAGCAAAGCCAACAAGAATTATAACACAACCAAAGTAAAGTGCGCGCTCTGATTGGTAAATTTAGCGTCCCCCATTTGCCCATGGGTGTAGGCTGCTGACGTGAGCAAATGCAAAGACTATTTTTCCGCGCGCACTTGTTTTTTCTGGTCACGTAAGATTTTTTAAATAAAAGGGAACTCTTTAGCTACAATGTATCAATGTTATGTTATAAAACAAATGGTAAACACCAGAGCGTACACTATTGAGTTATGAATGCACTTGGGAGGTTTGCTAAGCACTCAAGAAGCTAGAGTCGCTATCGCCTCGAGCGACTCTTACGCTTCTTTCGTGCTTAGCAACCTCCCGCTGGACTCTGTTGTGTAATTAGCTCGCTCTCATGCAGGGCTCCAGATGTTTCCGAAGGGTCGTTTATAGTAAACAGAAACATTGATTAATATCTTTACCCTTAACAAACCTATTTTCCCTTACTTTGATCATTTAAAACACAGTTAGGGTGTTTACGCTTGGTGTAAATGAAACTGTGGTACTTCTCACACTTAAATTAAAGTTAATGGTTTTTCTTGTGACTAGGTATGTGTCAATAAGGGGACCATATAAGGAAGTGCGGGGGGCCCATATTTATTTAATGTTTTCCTCAATGACCTGGAGATCTTTATAAACGACACGCCCGTGCTCTTCAAATATGCTGATGACTCAACTATTGTAGCTCCTGTATGGAAGGATTTAGATACCTTAAAAGACCTGGTAAATCAGTTTCTCAGTTGGAGTAAAAATAATCAGATGCTATGTAATCCGAGTAAGTGTAAAAAAAATAAAAAAAAAGTCTTTTACACAATTACTAGTGAACCAGTAGTTTCCATTGTGGTCCTTGCAAACAAATGAAACGAATGGTCTAAATTGAACATTACATCATTAAGAACATCATTAAGAACCCCAACCGGCCCGAGGCAAACCAGATGGCTATTTACAAGCGTGGCCAAGGATCTAAACCGTGAAACAGATCCAGTGGCCAGGGTGGGACTCGAACCCGGGAGCGGCGGATTACAAGTCCGACACCCTAATCACTCGGCCACACTGCCTCTCTGAAATACATGAAAGCTGGAAAAAGGTATCAATCATTGCAGCAAAAGTCTTTGAAGACATTGAGGCTTCATATCTTTGGAAGTACTTCTCAACATCCAGTTGAGAAAGCCTCTTGACTTGATCCTGGGTGAGAGATACACCAATCATTTCCTTTGCATTACCAATCCCAACGAGCAAGTTGCTCTCGATGATCTGAATCACTTGTGGGTTCAGCCCCGAGAATATTCATAACATCTGTAATGGCTTCTTGTTCACTCATGTCTATTTTATATCTTTTTCTAAATTTATATTGAAGGGATGGCGAAGTGATAAAATCAGATGAGAATACTTCTGACTCTTCAGCTTTGCTAGTAATTCCACCTGCTCTTCTTTCGTCAAATCACCTGCATAATCATCAAATGTCACCTTCATATCCTTGGCCGAAGGTATGTAGAAGAGAACCAGTGCAGCGATGTTTTCCCTGAATGGTTTTGCGATACTTGTCATCTGCTGTGTGAGGACCCAAACACTAATTCCCTTATGTCTTGCGCTGAATGCTGAATTCACAACTGGTCATCGAGGATGATCGGTATTTTAGTTCCCTCATAAACAAAACTAATAAGCTTGAGGCAATAATCAATCTGGTTTTGGAGTTAAGTCAAGATAAAGAGGTCCTTGTCCAAATCTCCAAAATTATAATAGGTCTTGTTGTGGATAAATGTTGGACAAATCAGGAAAATGTAATCGAGTTTCTGAAGGAATTTTTGCTCAAAAGATGGATGAGGTATTTTGTCTCTCCTGAATTTGTAGGTTCCACTATTAATGCATTGAATGGAATGTTTTCAGGATTCATATTTTATATTGGCCATGAGAAAAAGTTGATATCTGGTCTTCTCTTATTATTATCTTATCATCATTTGCATTCAAAGCTATCTTGTTGATGGTCTTGGTAAATATTTCATGTCTGTGCGATCTGATTACATTCATCTTCCTCATTTGAATGTTTCCGCTGGATAAGCACTCTTTGTAGTCTTCATGAGTTATATTCTTAGCTTCTTTATCACAGTCTTCTTGACTCCCTTGCACTTCTTCTCTTCTTTTCCCTCAAGAATCTTGTAGCTGTAAATTTTTGCTCTCAATCCAACAAACTTCTTGTTGCGGCCAGCTGGGATCCCTGAAATGTGATCTTAGGGAAAGTTGCTTGTGTCAAACTTGTGTTCAACATCTCTGGCTATGTCTCTGAAAAAGTCTTCAGTTTCAATCTAATGCATGAGACTGTGAGTGTCTGATGCATGACTTCCGCTATAAATACATCAAGGAGAAATGTGGAGATTGTGCTAAGCTTCTTTTCTTTTCACAGTGATATCAAGAATAGCCATTCCGCAGTAAACTGGCTTGTCAAACCTTTTTGATGTTCTCCCCATATGGATTGCAATGAGATTTTCGTCAAATATTGTGCAATGTTTAAAGTTCAGTTTCGCTGAAAGCTTGTTGCTTTTTCTCGATTGTTGACTAATCTCACATCAGCTTGAGTCCTGATGTTTTCCATTGTTTTTCCAAAGACGGAGTTGTTCATCAGCTTGAAGAAATCCTTTTCAAATTCGTTCTTTGCATTCGTGCGCAGGTTTGTGTTGAGATAGATGTAACTTTTCAGCCATGGTTCTTCTTCAAATTGGATTCCTCTGTGAATATTTTTCAGTTCTATAATCTTGTGCAAAGTGATTTGAAGAAACCTTCGTACTCATGGTAACCTTGAATTGAACACGATTAATAGCTCTAGCCCACGAAAAAAACATCTTTCTTATTCTTGGGCGAGTGGAATCTTAATATCCCAACGTGAGGAAGAAACTTTTGCCTTTCTCGGAGTATCTTCGATCGTTGTCACAACCCCACACGGCACAATGATCGCCACGAGGCATATTTCCAATAATATTTGCGTTTACGAGCTGGGAAGTAAACCAGGAGTAGATTGTACACACTTATTTACAGTTGAAATTTCCTTATTGGGTAATTTCCTCTAATTTACACCTAACTTTGGAATATTTCGAGATCAATACCGGATGTCGATTTCATAATAAAACCTTGCGCAACGAGAGAACTTTATTAGTACGTTTTATCACACGCTTCCTGGTTATTTGAACAAAAACTTACACTTTCCCCTATCAACATCGCTCTCATCATTTTCTGATAAACCGGCTGCGAAAAAGCGCTGAATTCCCTCCAAAATCGTTTTTTTGTGTGTCAAAAGAAGTTTCCGTCATATATTTCTTTGTAGCAACTTGCAGTGTTTGCCCTGGAGCGATCCCAGAACCCTTTGCGCATAATAGAGGTATCCGGTAACTGGCAACTCATTCATTCGAATTGACTTCGGCTCATGAAAAGTTCGACATCTGAACCGGGCCTTAGAAAGCTAAGTGAAATTGAAACCTTAAAGATCAAAGGGCAAATCAGTGTAGCCCAACTGTAACGCAATGTCACGCAATTACATAACAAAAAGCATTCAAAGAAAAGGAGTGTGTGTCTGTTTCTTCTCAAACGGACACTGACCACAAACGATTGGACGATGCGGTAAAAAATGTGTTGGATAGCAAAACAGCGCGAAACGAATTCAATAACAAGCCAGCATTGAGACGAAAACTTTTCATAGATGATATACCGACAAATGACGAATCCGTTAAATTCTACAGGGGATTTCCGGCTTTGGCCTGTCTAATAACTGAACTGGAAAGTGTAGTATCCATTCTGTTTATCTGTATCGTCATCACTTAATCGGAAACATGACCTACAAATAAGCGAAAACCCTCAAGACTCTTGTACGAACAGTCTTCGTCGTAGCCATCTTTTCCAACAAGATAATGATACATATCAGGAAACCTCAAGGCTGGAATATCAGTGAAGTCATGAGTCCAATCCTTAAGCGAAAGTGGATGGGGAAGTAATTTTCACTCCTGGCAATGTTATCAATTTAATTAATGAACTAACTCGTCCCGTTTCTTTGATTCCTATTCAATTTTGAAAATTTTATTTCCGCTGCATTCTAACATAGCTCCAGTTGTTCTGCTCTCCTCCTATTGTTACCATGAATAGATATTTGAATATCTCTTCCCTTTAAAAACTTTTGAAGCTCAGATACTTTCGTATCAGCTAAGGGGTCAGCATTGTTCACTCCTATTCCCCTCAGCCTCGAGTTGGTGCTAAAAACTAGTTACCAGACTTTCTCGCAAAAACAATTCAAAACGAGTCTATTGGAAATGGTAATTCAGAGAAACAGCCTGGAAAGAGCTGATTCGCTATGTACCCTGGTTATTAGCGGTAAAAGCGCTCTGGGATCGTTCTCTTCAGATGCCTGAATCAGAAATTCAAAGAAAAAAAGTGGCCTCCATCAAATTAAGTTCTCGTACCGAGTACAGGGTTCAAGTTACGACGTTTAAATGTTTAATTTAGTATCTGTTAAAACAAAACCTGGATATAGTTGAAGGTGCGCTCTTATTGGCCACTCAAACTTCGAATATCCTTTGCCATTCACCTCCGAGCTTAGCACGCAGTATTTGCGCCTGAGAATATTGTAATCGTTGCGCGAAAAAATCTGTCAAATCATCTTTTTTCGCATATCTCACTGTTTTAGTATGTACTGAAAAAATGCTGTCTTTAAGACACCAGAATGTCGGTGGCTAGAGGTAAATATATACCTCGCAACCCTGCCGCCTCGCGGCCGCTCGGTAATTATCCACTACTAGCAACCTCCACTTCGGTAAATACATAATTGTTAGCTATTATTTTCTTAGTATTCAAAGAAAAAAAGAAAGAAATTAGATATACAATGCGTATGTGAAGGTGATATCTAATATAGCGTCTGAAAAACAAGAGGGCATAAAGAAAAAGGCACATTGAGATCGTAACATATAAACAGTGAAGTAGCGACAAAAGAAAAATGGTTTTTTTTTTATAAAAACCGATTTAAGAATATGAGACTTTTTCTTTAGGTCTTATTTGGGGATCTGGAGCATCTTTTTTGAGGTATCTTAAAAATTTAGACTGTTTATTCTTGGAACTTTTAACATGATTAAACCTAAGAACATGCCAATCACTTTATCGACGGCTAACTCTTGAAATTGTGGGGGGAGATGTATCATTAGTAACACGTTGAGTTCGTTGCCTGCTTGTATTGTTGAATTAGGACGAATGACAGGCATTCTTATGAGAAGTTTCAATCGTTCCACTCTCGTTTCTAGATAATTTTTCGTTGTGACAAATTGACTTGCGGATGATGATGGCACGAAAAACAAAGATGATGCAAACAATATTTTCATTTTTCTTTTATTAACCCATTTAGCGCACTAAAACACTTCCCCAATACCCGTACAATTTATAAACTAGATATTAGCCCGACGAAAGTGTTTCATGTTATGATATTTCCCTTTCCGTTTCGCGTAGGTCCCATTTCAATAAATGATCCACTTCTGAGTTGCATAAATCTGGTCCTTTATCTGTTAAAAATAAGCATAAATTCGATTTCAGTTTGCTTTTGGATGAGGTGCACACCGGGCCACAGTGTACTTGGAGTCTTTAACGAATATTATTACACGACTCGGGCAGTCAGAGGGCCAATAACTAAAATCAACCAATCAAAATGCTCTATTGCCGGTCCAATATTCTCCAAGTATTGGACCGGGCACTGTAACGAATGGTCGCGAATGATACCGCACTTATGTCCCTTTGAACTTCAGTCGTATAATAAATCTCTTATTAACCAAGCTTGCTTGGGACCGTACTGGAAGAATATTGGCCCTCGGTCTTTTTTGCGGACCTCGCTGCGCTCGGTCTGTACTGTCAAGACCCCGGGCCGATATTCTCCCAGTACGGCCCACGCGCTTGGTTAATAAGATACAATGGACAACTACCTTTCGGTCATAGTTTGGTTAACTAGCGGATGCCTTGTATTTCCCACTTACTAAATTTCTCTAACTTTGAAGTTGTTGTAGCTTTTTTTAGCTTGAAATGAAGGCGGAGTACGAGACTTGAATTTGGCTAGAGCATAAAAGTTTAGGAGGTCTTGATGATAGTTTGACTTGAAGTAATCTAATCATTTATTCTCATCGATACCCAAGGGGCAAACTCAACTTAAAGCGTTCATGTTCTGCGAATAGAAATTTAAACGCTTAACTTGACTGTAGTAATGCAACCATAGGCAGGCAATTTTACCCCCATCCCACCCCCAACCCCTAACATGGGATATTAGTTTATCGAAGCTTGGCTTAGCTTTTCTGCCGGTTTTCCCAA